GGGGGGGGTGGAAATAATGTTATGATATTTACATTTTGAATTAATTACAAAAATAAAAATACTCAAGAAAAGTATCAATAGTACTAAGTACTTGCTAATTCAATAATAAAAATAAAAAGGAACAAAAAATTTATTTGATTGTTATATGATGTGTATCCTTTAATTTTTTATAGATTGTATTATATTCCTGCACACTATATTAATAATAAAATACAACTAATATTTATTAAATTGATATAATATATTAGATCATAATTTTATAAGATTAATATTCTGTCAAATTTCCGCACATCGCGCAGGTTCTTATACTAGTGTAATTAAAAAGCCGAAATACCTAAAACAACTATCCATCATTGCTCATCTTTTGTTGCTTGTCGCTATATCTGCATCCCGAATAAGTACCAAAAGTCAATGCCTCAAATGCAATCAAGGAAGAGAAATGAGACATTGTTTCCTTCAAATGTGAATTCATTCAATTTAATTCTCCCCCATGGAGAAAAAGTCAACTGCCCACATGAATAACAACCCAAATCTTGTAGCTGGACAGGTTTGTCCCTACATGAATGAATCATTTCACTACAAAATATAGAGAGAGAAAAACGAGTGTACAGACGAGTAAGATGGTCTGCAAAGACTATCGTCTGAATCAATTTTGAACCTAGGTACCAGTTTTTGATCCTTTATGTGCTTCACAAGTTAATGCCAAAGCTTACAACAAAAACCATTCGGTGGCCTCTTGCTGGATATCATTTCTGAAAAGGTATCAACCAATTGACCAGCCAAGCTACCTGGATCATCAATTAGTGTTTGAATGAAGGTATTTACCACCCTACGCTCCTGCTCCGTTGATCTCAAGCTAAACCAAGTAAGCAACTTTAACCTGAACTCCTTCTCGATCAAACCCTGACATTCCAGCCAACGGATGATCTTAACACAGTATTCAAAGTTCTCATCCAAGCCCCCTGTACGAATTCGGATAGGTGAACCATTGACCAAGGTGCTATCAGAGTCATGTGTCTCACGATTATTGCTAGTTCCCCTCTTCCGACAATCTTCCATCTGAGAACCAACAGCTGATACATCTCCATTCTTCCCCTGGTTCCAGTTCTGGGAATCTCCACTACCATGTGATCCGGCAAGACCATTCCTCTCATTGTCATGAGAGGTGGCATCATCAACTGCTTCAACAGTCTGCCCTAAAGTGCAGCCAGTATCTTCATCTCTGGACGAGGGGGTTAACTCTTCATTTAAATCGGGTACTGAAGCAACATTTAAGTCAAGCTGGCGAGAAGTAGATGGCTTCCTCTCTTCCTGTACAGGTTCAGGCTTAACAGTACTACAAGACTCGCAGCATTTTGCAAATGAAGGTCCACAAAATCCCTCTAAACATCCTTGCTGTTGAGCCCATGCCAGTCTTAGAATTTTACCAAGGTCTCGGACCTTGAATCCAGAATCAAACTCAATGTCTTTTCCAGTGTAGTAGCCCTCTTTGGAGCCAGAGCTTCCTCCAGTATCCTGATTCACCTTCCTTTTGTGTCCTGCTACTGAATCAGACTTCTTGTGTATTATCTCAATACTCTTTGTGAAACACTTCGCCTCAGAGTGTCCCACATCACTGGTATCTGTATAGGAAACTATCCGAAAAGAATACTCTGTGCAAGGCTGTAAATTCGATATCAAAATCCTTCGCTGAGTTCTTGGAAAGACACAAACAGGTTCTTGTGTATAAGTGTCTTCTCTGGCCTTGCAGTACCAGAGCTTGTAGCCCTTGACATCTTCAGAAGATTCAGCTGATACTTCTATCAGAACAATTACAACCGAAGTTGACGTCACTTCCTCAAAAAGGAATTTGCACGCTGCAGGAAGTGAACCCTCTGGCAAGAAGTAGCAACAGGAAAGTATTACTAATAAAACACTGTAGATTCAACTTGCTACAAGTCAGTGCCACCTCTGAAGAATAAAATAAGAAATGGTACCTGAGGAATTAGAAGGTTTGTTAGTCTTTGTTGCCAGCCATTCATCAGCTTTCTCAATGGCAATCGAGCACAATGACTGAATATCGCTGGCAATAGAAAGTCTGCTAACAATTCCCCGAGCCATCTTCGATGATACTCCATTCACTGGGCCCACTTCCATCTCCAATTTGGCCTTGGCTTCTTTAACAATTTCATGGAGTTCTTTAAATCTGGATGTCCCGTCCAGCAGCCTGTAACTCAAGTATATTCTGTAGCAGAGGATGTCAACACGACGAGCATCCTTAGCTACACAAAGCTGTTTCTTCCAAAACCTACCAAATTCCATAGTGGAAGAGAAAAAGGTTCAACAAACACGACGAGATTAATAGCATTATACACAAGGAGATAACCGATGCTTCTCTTCATGCAGGAGGGCCAAAAGTGGACGGGTATTACTGTACAGTTATTGCCAATAAAGAGGATTTCTAACATCTACTAGCTTTTTGGAAATGCCATAGCTTGACACTCTAAAATTCACTCAAAATGATTGCTCATTCTGCAAACTATAGTCTATACATCACTAGGTGGAAACGTTTCTTAAGGTTAACATGCTGTTAGTCAAAAATGAGCTATTAACGATTCTAATCGACCCAGAAGAATTCAATAACAGTACTACCTTTAAAACTTAAATAACTAATCAACATTGAACAGAGAAGAAACAATTAACACCTTCAACACTGCAAAGTGACACTTGGTAGCAGGAAGCTTATAAGAGAATTCAGAAGGAGATAGCTTCAAGACTGATCGTTCTGTCTATCACACACGCATATTGAAAAGTGAAAAATATTATACGTCTCTAAAGGAACTTACCGAAGAATTCCTGAGACTTTACCACAAGAAGCACAACAATAGCTCCCATCTAGCTGCATCAGTTGTCCTAGATCAACGACTCCCACCTTCTCACGTTGGAGGGCACACTCAATGTGGCAAGTCAAGCCACACGAGCCCCCCTGACCAGATTCAGATGTGCACTCCAACCAAAGACTAGGATCCTTGTTATCATCAAATAAGTGACAAATGCAACAAGAGCACCTTTTGCAAAAAGTGTCATCTATAGAAATAGTGGCCCGGCATGCAGCATTTTTGCAGATCCATGAATTTGAACATTTCACATCTTCACACGGCTCCGTAGCTGGTGGGATTCGGAGAGGGTTTTCCCCTTTCCTGTGCTGCTTTCTAGAAGAATGATCCTTGGGACTTGAAGATGCTCTTTTTTGCTCTTGAGTCTTAAATTGCTTTTTACTCAACTTTGGGAGTTGCTCAGACATTTTGCACTTAGATAAGATCAATTGCTTCCCTTCCTTGTCCTGGTAGAACTCTGAAAGATCTTTCCCTGGACCAGATTTCAGGACTTTTTGGAGGGCCTCTAAACTTGAATTTCTCTGTAGTTCTTTCTCACTGGACGAAGCACTAAGAACGCCGAAAACTGGATATAAAAAACATATGAGATAGCATACAGAGAATCTACAGCAGTGGCGAAACAGAAAAAATGCGTGGATCCGACCAAAAGATATGACACGAAGAGTTGTATCGATTTTCCATTCTTGCATTTAAAGTAGATCTCAGACACTGAAGCCTATCCTTGCTCATGAGATCCCTATAAATGAACTTCCATATGAGAGTCCACCATAGATGCCTTAGGTAAAAAAAAAAAATTGCTATGATTTGGTGCTTATCACATCTGTATCATAAGTGAGTCAGGAAAAGATATATTTTCATTTGGTTTTGAGTGCCAATAACTGACATTTCATGCTTTTTTTTTAACGGTAACTGACATTTCATCCCTTTTCAAGGTGAAGTCAAAACTGCATGACACTTGAACGTGAGCTTAAAAGGGAATCGAAGTTTATTCTATCATTTATTTAAACTACTCACATCGACATTGGAGAAGAATCTTATAGTGTCACATCTTTGGTCATATAAATTTTAGCACTTTTCCTTTGCAGGTTGACCCCCAAAAGGTAATGAAGCAAAATAATAGGTCTAACAATGTTTACTATTGTTCACAAAGTGACAGAGGGTAAACTCCTGTTTATCGTACATTAGATGTCAATGTTCATTTGTTTCATAAAGAGAGACAAAATACCATCTTCCTTTGGAAGTTTCCAAGAGCTACAGGCATAGCATCAGACAACTAGAAAAATTCTATTTCTATGGCAATAGACAAATCACAAAACCATGTTTTTCCCATCTTAATAAAGAATCTATCGAAAAGTAAGGGATAAATCTCTCCTATTATTCATACAGATTTCATACCATTGGCAATTTCCTAGGCAGTTTTACTCTCAAAGCCAAAACTACACCAAAAGAAGCCACCTTTCTCCGTCTCTTCATTTCTGGGTTCCAGATAACCAGGCCACACAAACTTGTGCCTGGAACAATAGCAAAAGCCTATGAAGTGTCCTATGCAGCTATGGTTTGTTTTACTGCTACTACAGGCCCCAATTTCATACTTCTTTACTCTTCTTATCGGTTTATCGATCGTCTAATCCATGCAGAACCTGCTTTAACATTCACAACCTAGGTAGATCTAATGTGTTCCATTATAGCATATTGTTCATCCAGTTCGTAACAACTGCATAATGGCTGTTGTTTAAGTTAATAATAACATGGTGATTGGAAAAATGTAAGGAAATCTAGTTCTTGTAATAAAACATTAGATCTATGTTGGTGTCACATCCATAATTGCTTTAGACAAACATGCAAATATATAGAGACAATTTGACTGAAGTGGGACTTCAATGTTCCATAAAATATGTTCCCAAGAATGTTAATTGCACCCCGTCATGTTTATCATGATGGACACCAAGTTTTATAGGTCATCTGGTAGAAAAGCAGTGCATTTACAGGATAGTTGAAAACCCCAGCAAAGGCAAAGATATTCACAATCAAACTATGCTCATAATCATACCAACCCTTAATATAACATCAGTAAGAAAGTCATCTCAACTAACAGAAACTTCTCTTTATCTGACAATTCCCTTCATCTATTGAGCATTATTTCGTAGTTTTATCCAGTTATCATTTTCACTTGTTTTACAAGTACAGTAACACAGATATTAGAGCAAACAACTTCAACATACATGGTTTTTGGATAAGTTTCATCCTCAATTCAGTCTTATAGAGCTTCTGAAGTTATACTTGAATCATATAGAACATGACAAATTTAAAGCATTCACGCTGAAACTTATAGCGCTATCCACTTCGAAATGAGTGAAAAGGAAATCAGAATGGGAAGTTAAATTGGATGCAGGTCAAAAGATCGGGTGCCCCACCTTCCCATGGTTAAGACTGCAAGCCTTGGGCTAAGAATCGTTAAAGTACATCCTGCCACAGAAAGAAGGGAACCAAGAATTGAAGAGTAAATACGGGAATTACTGTGACTATTCTTTTAAAAGAAGAATAGCTCTAGATATCTTACCTAAGTACCACAGAAGTCTGGATAGGATTTTAACGAGCAACCTACAGATCCCAAAACAAGAATTGAAGAGTAAATACAGGAAGTATTGTGACTATTCTTTTAAAAGAAGAATAGCTCTAGATATCTTACCTAAGTACCGCAGAGAGCTGGATAGGATTTTAACGAGCAATCTACAGATCCCAAAACAAGAATTGAAGAGAAAATACAGGAATTACTGTGACTATTCTTTTAAAAGAAGAATAGCTCTAGATATCTTACCTAAGTACCACTAGGGGTGGCAAATGGGCTGTTTGGGCTGAAGTTGGGCGGGTCAAGATGAGCTGAGTAAATAAATAGGCTAATGCCCAACTCTGCCCAAAGTTTATTTGGGTCAAGATGGGCTGGGTCATGGGCTAAATAATGGGCCATAACCCAACCCGCCCAACTTGACCCAAAATCTTTTCAATATTCTCATATTTAAACAAATCAAAATTCAATATGTTTTGAAAAAAATTAAAAATATATTCACAAATAACCTCCTCTGACTCAAATAATGATATGTTGTGAATTATATTGCGATACCTCAAAAATAGCCTAGTGCCCGTCTTTTATTTTATTGATAAAAATTTTGTTTGTTATTTTCTCCGTTGTGTTAATATGTTTCTACTTTATTTTCAAACTTTTTCATGTTTGATGATGGGTTTCATCAACAATAATTAGTTAAATAATTCATTTTCTCTATCAATAAAATTAATGTCAGTCCACTTTGTAAAATACTCAAAATAAACCTATTAATACATTTTATAGAAGTTGCCAGTCTTCAAAATTCAAAAGTTGTAGCAATTTGGTTAGTTGTTCATCACATTGATTTGAAGACTAATACAACTTCTCTTCACTTATCTCTATTTGGTGATTAATTATAATGTAGTTAAATAATTTTCTCTATTAATAAAATTAATGTCAGCCCACTTTGTAAAATACTCAAAATAAACCTATTAGAACTTATACAGAAGTTGTCATAGTCTTCAAAATTCAACTGTTATGCATCCCTGTTTACTATAATAATATATATGTATATAAGTTAATGTACTACTCTCACTTTTTTGGTGAATAGAATTAAAAAAATTATTTCATAATATATATATATATATATATATATATATATATATATATATATATATATATATATATATAAACTTGGAGAAACAGAATAAAAAATTACTAATTACCAAGTGCGTGAAAATGTGAAACGAATAACTGAACAAGAGATTGAGCATTTTAATGGGTCAAGGTTGGGCATCATCATGGGTTCATTTGGGCCGATGATTTGTGATGGATTAACTTGGGCTACCCCAAAATAGCCCATCTTTAAAACTGTTCCAGCCCAAACCCATTAAAACTTGGGCGGGTTGGGCGGGTCAAATGGGTTTGGGTTAGTTTTGACACCCCTAAGTACCACGGAGTCTGGATAGGATTTTAACGAGCAACCTACAGATCCCAAAACAAGAATTGAAGAGTAAATACAGGAATTACTGTGCCAATTCTTTTAAAAGAGGAATAGCTCTAGATATCTTACCCAAATACCCCGGAGGTCTGTATAGGGTTTTAACAAGCAATCTACAGATCCCGAAACAAAAATACAACCTTATTTTAATGCAGTTTATCTTGCTGAGGTGGGACAAGGTAGATAAATTAAGCAATAAGATTAAGTGGAAATTCTCACCTCCAGAAATCTACGAAAGAAAGCCAAACAAGAATGTAGCAGCAGCAACCCCTCCCTGACACAATCAGATGTTAAGATGCATAACTGATGATGCATCTCTGCAGCTCAGGCCCCTAAAATAAGCTATAAACAGTTTCGTGAAATATTGATTACCCTTGTGAACAACATCTTAGGAACAGGCCTTCAAATTCCATGATCAGAATTTTGACAAGATGTATACCGAGATTCAGAATTTCAACAGAAACACAAACACACAATAAGCTGCAAAGTTAAAATTTTACGGACTACTCATACCAAAACAACATGTTGTTATATTGCATTGAGAAGGATCATATATGATTTTTGACAAATGAGCAAACAAGAGGAACTTCTATGAGTTTTGCTAAGAGCAGAAGATAAACATAATGAAGCTGCAGAAGTGCAACACAATTACTTTCCCAAATTTTGCGAGATGGGAAACTGAAATCAGTTGGCTGAATGCACTCAGAAAAGTAAATTCAAATAAAATGCTGTGTATCATTATGTTAGCAAATTGGCACGCTTTTCCAGTTTCCCCTATCCTTTTGAGTGTTATTTAAACTTGCAAACAAGAAAATGTTCGTTCGATACATAAAACAAACTAATTCATACAAAATGGGTTCATTTGTATACACCAAAACCTTTTTCTTCTTTACATATATCAGCCATATATCAAATCAACCAAACTATCTAGCAACTGGGAATTCTCTTTTCACCATTAGTATGAACAGAATGAAATGACCTTCAGATATTTCTTATATCTCTCTCCCTACTAAGAAAAAACCTTAAATCTATATCTAGATAGTCCAAAAACTAGATATAACGGTGCCATTCCCCAAGCTGTTTCCCTTTCACTCCCAATCTTCTGTAGCCTCATTTCGTCATCGCTTCATCCACTGTATCCGATAATAACCCCGAGATGAACAACGAGAATACTATGGTCAATATCTGTCCCGTAAATTTGGTATGCAACAGCAGGTGGTTTCTATTCACGTTCTATTCCTTGCACAAGTAATAGCAACTCATTACAATTCATTTCCTCTTCATTAAGTTATCGGCTGTTAAAATTGTATCCCTCACTGCTCCAAGTAAAGAATGCTACTGCCTTCAGCGCCTTACTGCTCCAGATATTCTTCCACACCTTCCTCATATCCATTTTCTTATGGGATAGGGTAAAAATTAATATTATTGAACATGGGAAACACCCGTATATAATCTACACAAAAAATTATGGTTCTCTACAAAGCGCACCCAGTCTTCTATACAAAGTGGAACCGCGTGGATGCACCTAAAAAAACCTAGAAAAGGAGGTTATTCTGCATATGCATAAAGTCAGATTCTACCCCATCAAAAATAGGCTCTCATATTCCTCTTTGTAGAGAACAACAAAAGTAGTGCCTTCTCTTCTTTTGTGGGCCCAACTATGTAGCATCTAGGTTACTGTATCTGGCATCGCCCAACGTGCGCTAAACTAATTTAACACTTCTCACCACAGTAGCATTGCCACATAATTCAATATGAGGTGGTTCATATCTTCACCTGAGCATTTACACATAGAACAGTGCATATGCAATTCTCCTCATTCTCAGATTCTCAGCTGCCAGGCTGGCACCCCTTGCTACTACCAAGCAAAGCAAATCTTTTTAGGCGCTCTAGTATCCAAGCTGGTGAATGGGAGAAACTAGCTTCCTCTTCCACCAACAACTTATGGGAATTTATGACTTGACAGTAAACATTCCATCTCTGCTTAACCCACATCCGCGAATCGCGGCTAGTGTGTAAACAATTAAGCTTGTAGTTGTTCCACCAGACTTTGAAATTTAGTTACACTTTCCAGCCGTGCAAGCTCCTCCTGAATCTCATGTTCCACAGAGCTCCATCCTCATTTTGACCACCTGATTTGTTGTACTGTAACTTGACATTCTATAATATTAGGTAACATTTTGACTTATCAAAACGCAGTATTATGTAACATGGACTTCAACACATTCTCTCTGAACCCACCCTGAAATTAATTATGTTTTATCTCCTACCCGAAATGAAATGTTGTCACTGAAGGCGTCCCATTCCCCTACGATGTTCCTTCAAAGACCACAGTCGAAAAATAAAGAGATGTTCCTAGTTCTCCATCCCCTGTCCAAGGTTCCATATTGCTACTAGCATTTCCCTCCATAGAGCCCTCTCCTCGGTTCCGAACCTCCACAAATAATTTCCAGCAACGCTATGTTAAACACTTTAAGGTGCTTTACCCAAATGACCGCCTCCTAGCAGCCAAGATGGTGCTTCCTAAACCTATCTGTTGCATCCCATAAGTTCATATGAAGCAGTTACACTAGCTAGTGCTGTAACAATGAAATAGTATGTGTAGATGAACAATAGTGTGTTTTTTTATGAAGTATCGATAGTGTATTTTTTTTTATTAGTACTTCCTTTTGACAAGTATCTTTTTTGCCACCCTGTTAACATCTTCTCAGCTCTTTTAATGACCAGGTTCTATGATTCTTGGTTTTGATTTGATGTAATAAACCGCAACCCAATTGCCCACCTCTTCCATTGGCATGATCTCGAACTCCTAAGGTTGATCTTGAGTTCTAACACCGCTCAAAACCACATGAAAATGTTCTGAGCGTGCCAGTTAGGTCACACCGAGCTTCAACACCTAGCGCACGTCCAAGGCAAGACTTTGGTACCATTATAAGAAGATGACCTCAAGCCTAACTCAACCTCAAAAGCTAGCTCATGAGGTGAAGATTGCCAATACCATATAAATTGACAAAAGTTGATTCTCTTAAATAATGTGGGCCTCGAGTATGTAGAAAATAGGAGATGTGAGATTTTTACGATGTTTTCTCGAGTATGTAGAAAATACGAGATGTGAGATTTTTACGATGTTTTCCCCTAGACAAGCGCAACAAAACACCTCATGTTGCCTCCTATGGCCGTTCTATTCATCATCTTGCTAAGTTTTCATTACCAAAACAAAGAAACATGGTTGATAAAGGGTCTCTTATCTAAGACCCCTCGAATTCCCAAAAAGTGTGCACAAACATTCCCGAGGATCGATCATCTAATTGTTTGTATGCAAAACCTAAGTGTTATCAAAGGCAAAAAGCGCAAAAACTCTCTAAGGTTTGTTGGGGCTTTAAGCGCAAAACGCAAATTAATGAAGAAAGGGATAAATGGAGAAAAACCACAAATTATGTAGGTGTAGTCAAAGACTAATATCTATAAGCATGAATACCAAATATATGGACAAAGAAATTACATAAAATTTACGATAAAGTGAAATATCAATTATTTAGTGTCGCCTCTTCAGGATTACGCTCATTGGCAAGGAAAAATATGCCTTAGAGCCTTGATGACAATGCTGAAGCACCCGTTAGGTGAGGCAAAGCGCTCAACATGTTGTGAGCCTCGCTTCAAGGCTTAAGCGAGCCTTTTATAACACTTCCTAATCCACTCTCCCACCTACCTCCAAGTATTATCCTCATCATAACAATATCCACAACCTCCCAAATTACATGGTTGTGGGCTCTTGAAGGTCTAGCTTGCATAATATCCTGGCTCGCCTTTCTTACTTCTATAATCAACCACTTCATTTGCACCCATTTTCGCACAAGAAATTTGCCTTCCTTCAACAAACGCATTTTAGAATGTAAACATTGTCTTGTCCACCATCTCCTTAAGTGATAAACTTTGGAAAGCACCTTAAAAATTATATATTAGATGCTTCTCACTAGATTAATAAGCATGTAGTATTTGATACACAAAGCTCCTCCCTTTTGGCACAATACATTCCTTTCAGAGTCTTCTGTTGATAAGCAGCAATAGTATAAAATAAATCTTCATTGATCATGTTCCAGTATTATTGAAACCTATGTTGCAGGGACTCCAAAATACTGCCGCACCTGTGTCGGATTCTCCAAAAATACACTGCTTTTGGAGAATCCGACACGCACCCGGTGACATTTTCAAAGAGAACTAGCAACATAGATTGAAACAAAACCAAGGTAAATTCATTGAAGCATGGTGCCTTATCTCCTGCACGACTCTATAACACCTCCCTCACCTCTTTTCTTTTCTCTCTCTAACCACTCACGTCCATGTGTATACAGGAATTCATAAAATCCAATAGTTGTCCCTCAACCCTCCTCGCATTTATAACACATGCCATTCACATACTCATATTGTATGAACTTACTTCTCATATTTATCCTTGCTATCCTATGAAAGTGCTTTGTGTTTGAGTTTCCATTCTCCATAAGGCACTCGATTTTCATTGTCGCTATTCTCCTATGCTATTGCCAAGAAAGTTATGTCCTCTTCCCTTTCTTTCACCCTGTACTATAACCCCCTTCCCTTTAGCACTCCCACCTTCCCGTAAGCTCCTTCATCTGTACTTCTACCCTTCCAAGAGCCTCCTTATTCCACATGCTTATGTCCAGTTTTAGTATATGAGCTTCTTTGCCAACTGGAATGATGATCTACTGGTAAACTTTCTAGCATCTCCCCTCTCCACCTATCAAAGACCTTATTTCCATAGTTTGCCACTTTCAACCATACATTCTCAAATATAAAAGGGGTCGTGAATTCCTTCATAGCTAGCATGACTGACGAATGATCCAAAATCACCTTGGACAATATGACTTGCAACACTTTCAGAACCAATGCCTTAATGTGGTAAACGCTAAGAATTTGTCAAGTCTTGATTTAGAAGTTGAATAAACTGACCTTGCCCAAGTAAATCCAGTCTTTTCAGAGGAAGGTAAATAAGAAAATGTTTATTGATTAACTCCGAAAACTCCATTGCCCTACACACTGCTTTACATCCCATCCTTTCATTCAAAACCCTAATGGTGTTAATGTGCCCCCTATCACTCACGTGATATCCAAACCCGTCATAGGAGTAGAAAACTAAAGGTTCCCACCACTTACGTCTTGCCTCCTACAACTTTGCCCATAGTGTTGTATTTTTAGATCTACAATCTTCGAAAGCTAGGAGAATCCGCTCAACATCTTCGTCGCTATAGTGTTGTCAAAGGCTCATATAAGGAGCGCTAAAGCCTTGAAGCTCAGAGAAACTCAAGACGGGAGCTTCCCCTCACTTAGGTTGCGCTCCAATGTAGGCAAGGCACCCAAGGCGTGCACCTCATCGCCCATAAGTTCCATCTTGCATATATACTAAACAATAAATATGATCCGCAAAAAGATAGACTAACTATTACGAAATAACATAATGAATGAAGTTGTTACTCTTTTTGCATATTAAATACATATTTTTGCTTTTTTCTTCGTTGTGCCTTTTTAACTAAAGCCCACATGTTTATTGCATTTTGTGCTTAAAGTTCAGATAGACCTGGAGCGCTTTTTAACACTGTTTGCCTTTGACAACACTAGCTTTATCTGAATTGACATAAGATTTATTGAGAAAATGTATCTAACAAGAACAGTTCCCATTGTCCTAAACCACCAATAATTCCCCCCGCTACTCCTCTGGATTCAAGATTGGTCCATACCCACCCATTTGTTACTCCACACTCTTCAAGACTGGTCCCAATCCATTTATACTCCACACTCTTCAAATTATTGCATATGTTACTTGTTTTGCCATTCTTTCTTAGAAAACGTTAGAAGGGAATCGTCCTTTCAAGAACTCCCTTAATCACCATACTTTTGTCAGGATCTTTGCCCCATAAATTTCATGATATTATTTTAGTCGTGCTTAAACTAACCGCACTTTCTACTCCTCACCTTGCTCCCTCCTGCCCCTTATCAATACAAGAGCAAAGAAGAAAATAGGAAACGACAAAGGCGCCGAGATTTATAATACTTCTCCTGGAAACAAACCAACGATCACACGCACAAAAATCAGCACATGCATCAACATTCAAGCAAGAATATGCGAAACTAACATGGGATTAATTGAAAAACCAGCTAACCCAACAAGAAATAATGAAACCGTTGACCCCAAAAACCCAACAAAAAAAACAAAAAAAAACATGCAAAGAACAATTTTTGCTATTTTTGAAATTAGTGGTGTCGTAGTTCCTCACATTGCCCATATTCAACAAGAAAACAAACAATACCCAGCAACCTCCAGAACTTAACACCTCATCACAAACAAGAAAATACTTAAACCAAAAATAAATATAGCACCAAAAAAAACAATTAAGCTTTAATAAAATTTCACAAAAATAATCAACTAACACAATATGGGAAGAAGAGTAACAGATCTGAAAGCAAACACACTCAGCTACAACAAATAAAAAAGAAACAAATAAAACATGGAGAAAACAGAGGAATCTGAGGAAAGTACCTTGCGTGAATAACAATGCAAGGAAAGAGGAGAGAAAAATTTTAGGGTTATCAAAGGGAGGGGTTTGAAGGGGTTTTGCGAAAAATCCTGTGTTAAAGGAAACTTCGCTCCTCTGTTAAATGTTAGTTGGTGATTTGTTTCACGCACGCTAATAGGTTTGGGAGGCGAAAGAGATGAAACTCACGCGTAGGTTAGGCGCGTGGTACAGGTGAATCTTTTAGAAAAGCGCAGTGGTTGATGCTAAAGTACATGATCCAGTTGGCTGTTTTACATTTCGCTCATGTCTGAAACGCGTTGGAATCGAGCGTGAAGATAAGGTTAAATCTTACTAATATATTTTCTGTTGGGGGGTAGTTCACTTTTATATCATGCATGTGCTTTTACATACCTAAATTGATTTCGCTATTGTACATTTATACACGTTGGAACCATAATCGACTGATTTTACAAAATTAAGAAAGAATATGATAGGCTCGACTAAAATTCAAATTCATGTACAATAATATAAATTGTGATATCTTGAACATGGAATTATCTTATTGAAGATCTATAGTTTCTTTTTTTGCCTGTCGATTCATTGTTCCATTTGATAATTCTTTTGTCCTGAATAAAATATTTTTTGTTGTGTTGGAATTTCCTTAAAGTTAGCTTTAATTTTTTAATGTCCCGAAATGTGAATTTTAGCTAAACCCTCACTATTGCAATTTTTTCCATAGAATGTTCTTACGTCTATATAATTGATTTAAGTTTGTTAGTAGACTGTATTTGTAAAATAATTCTGGAAATATAAATGAGTATAAACAGAAATGAACATAAACAGAAATGACATAAAACCAATTCGAGCCCACTGAATTCACAGTGTTTCCTTAAGGAATTTAATCCCCTCCTAGTACCCAAGGTTATGGATTATTTCCTCCCAGGATAGAACGAATTACACACTGGTGTAGTGGTACTTCAAACCCCAGTGTTTCAGCGAACACAAAGTTCGGTAGCAAATCACACTTACTTTTTGCTTTGTTTGATGCTAAAAGTATGCAGAAGAAGGAGAAGAAACTCAGAAAATCGTAGTGAAATTCTGAGCAGAATAGTGTTGTATTTATAGCCAAAGTTAGGCTGAAATCTGAAGAGGTGCAACTCTTCAGAATGGCGTTTTATGCAAAACGCCCACAGCATAAATGCCATTACATAAATGGCCATTTACTCAATAATAAAGAGGGAAAATAAAGAGGGAAAATTGAAGAGGGTAGTTACTTTTCTGTTACCAAAACAGAAAAACGGATTGGATTTAATATTAATCAATCGATCATTTGACCAAATCCGAAGCCGAAGCCGAAGCCGAAGCCGAAGCCGAGCGAGCGACGACGACGACGGCGCGAGACTTGCCTTCTTCTCAACTCTTTAAGAGCTAGAAGAAGAGCAATTGCTTATATACCCATAAAAAACCTCTTCCTCTTCCAATATGGGACAATGCCCATTTGCCAAGGGGGGAACTTAAAATTTCACTCAAAAATTTTATTTCCCTCCATTTCCCATTCACGCTCTTTTAAGTATTTAATATATTAATTAAACACATCCAAAACCCAACAAGTTTTTTCCTGTCTTTTCTTTTAGCAACTTAATAAAATACTTTTGGTATATTATAATGCAAAAAGGAAGGATATATTTGATTTTGAAAAGAAAAATCTTGCATAATGCATATATAGAATATAATCTTCTCAATAAAGGAAGAGAAAATAGCATCTGACGAACCACGAATCTTGTTGTTGCGCAATGGCCAGTGGAGATATCGGTTATTTGTTACTTGCTAGCCAATGAATGTGATTTTAAACTTTTATAGTGTGTTGGTTAAAGCCATTTTCCCATTTGGGGTAGAGTGGATGGATATATCTTGATTACTACTTCCTCATTTATAATGGAAAACCTTATCAAATGGGGAATCTACATTGAACCTTATGGGTGCTTAAGCACCCATTGTTTTTAGCCAAACATTATATTTCTATATTGGAAACTAGTAATAATCTATTTATATATACAGTCAAACCTCTCTAAAACAGCTTTGTTTGTTCCGAATATTTTTGAATATTATAGCGAAATTCTGTTATAGAGAACATATATTATAACATAACATGAGATTTGGTTCCGGAAAAACTTGGCTTTATAGTGAAGTGTTGTTATATATGAATGTTATTATAGAAAGGTCTGACTGTAATAGGAGAAGCAAAGAAATATTATGATGACAAGTGGCATAATATTCAATTGGCACATGTAAACTTTTTGGACAATTCTCCAACTTTGTTGGAGTTTCAAATTTATTTTAAAAAAATATACATGTTTTTTTACACAATTTAAAATTTCAAAATTTTAAGAAAACAACTGAATTTGCATAGAACAATTTATTGGAGTTTCAAATTTATTTAAAAAAATGTAAAGGACACTTCTTCTTTTTTTTTGCAAAATTTAAAATTTCAAAATTTTGGAGTTTCAAATTTATTTTAACAATTTAAAATTTAATAATTTTCAAAAATTTTAGAAAATAACTGAATTTGCATGGAAAAATTTGTTGGAGTTTCAAATTTATTTAAAAAAATATAAAGGACGCTTTTTTTTTGAAAATTTAAAATTTTAGAATTTTCAAAATTTTAAAAAAATAACTGAATTTGCATGGAACAATTAAAGGACACGTGTTTTTTCTCTCTAAAAAGGAAAATTAATTTTAGATTATTATTTATAAATTATATATTTAGATATATGTAACGTATTACCTAATTAACTATCAACTAATTCAACCATATGGCATAACCAGAAAAAGCCATATATCACTTATTTTTTAGTTAATTAATATTAAATAACTACATCAAAGTATATTCTTTTTGTTAATATTAGAGTAGCTTTCAACTCTATTAAAATTTATAATGGTTGTTTATCACTTATTTTATTTTCATTTATTTTTCTCTAATCATCATTAAATTGAATAATAAAACATAATAATAATAATATATTTATATATAATAGGAGAAGCAAAGAAATGTTATGATGATAAGTGGCACAATATTCAATAGACACATGTAAATTTTTTGGATAATTCTCCAACTGAGTTTCAAATTTATATAAAAAAAAATGTAAACGTTTTTTTTACACAATTTAAAATTTCATTATTTTAAGAAAATAACTGAATTTGTGTGGAACAATTTATTGGAGTTTCAAATAAATTTAAAAAAAATGTAAAGGACACACTTTTTTTTTGTTGCAAAATTTAAGATTTCAGAGTTTGGAGTTTTAAATTTATTTTTTTTAAAAATGTACACGTTTTTTAACTCAATGTAGAATTTCAGAATTTTCAATTAAGAAAATAATTGAATTTGCATGGAACAATTTATTGGAGTTTCAAATTTATTTAAAAAAAATGTAAAGGACACTTTTTTTTTTTGGCAAAATTTAAAATTCAAAATTTGGAGTTTCAAGTGTATTTAAAAATAATGTACACATTTTTTACACAATTTAAAATTTCAGAATTTTAAAAAAAATAACTGAATTTGCATGGAACAATTTGTTGGAGTCTCAAATTTATTTAAAAAAAATGTAGAGGGCACCTTTTTTTTTTTGAAAATTTAAAATTTCAGAATTTTAAAAATTTTAAAAAAATAACTGAATTTGGATGGAACAATTAAAGGATACGCTTTTCTTCTCTCTAAAAAAGAAAATTAATTTTAGATTATTATTTATAAATTGTATATTTAGATATATTTGACGTATTATCTAATTAACTATTAACTAATTCAACCATATGGCAGTAAACTCTGCTACCTTAAGAACCCTTTACATGCTTGTATGAGAGGTTTAGTGAGGTGTCTTGTGGATGGTTTGGTCACTATTTCGGGGCGATTTTAAGCTGAAGTTCGGAGGTGTTTGCGGTAGTATTTTTGGTAGTTTAAATGTGCATTTTCGGGGCTGGAAATTGGACGTTTTTGACTGGTGTTTGGGCTGGTCTTCGGGTCGTTTCAATCACCCAGTACTGATAGGGCCAATCCAGCCCGTGGAGAGATCCATCTCCAGGTATATAAAGCATCGGACAAGATCCATGTCCAGGGAGATCCATCCCTCAATATAATCAACCGTGTTCATAGGGGTGTGTGTAGACTCTGGAGGGGCTCCTTCAGCCCAAACACTATCATAAATCAGTATAACCGCTGCGGTGTGCAGCCCGATCCTATAATGTCACTCATAATCAGGCTCTCGGCCTCGCTCAGTCATCAATCTCTCTAGTCTCACTCACGAGCTCACAATGTCATGAAACTAGCCCGAACATGATGATATGATGTATCAATAAATAACAACAGAGACTGAGTTATGATATGAAATAAATGAATGTGACTAAGTACGAAATATCAATGAAATCAGTAAATCAATAGCAAGAAACGACCATTATGGGTCCCCAACAGTACCGGCATATAGCCTAAAGATGATCTTTAGCCTGATTGACCGCTCAATTCAGCCGGCGTCATACAGTATAGAGGTATAGAAATAGGCTGAGTGCCCAGCACCAAGTCAATACCAAAGTCCATATCCCTGTCGGGCGACATGCCCGATAGGTCTGCAGGAAACACATTCAAAAAATCTCGCACCACCGGAACAGAATCAATAGTAGGGGTATCAGCACCAACATCCCTCGCAAAGGCCAAATAAGATAGACAACCCTTCCCAACCATCCGCTGGGCCTTCAGGTATGAAATCACTCTACTGGGAACATAGTCTAGAGAACCTCGACACTCAATCCATGGCAACCCCGGCATCGCCAACGTCACGCTCTTAGCGAGACAATCCAAAATAGCATGACATGGAGACAACTAATACATACCCAAGATCACGTCAAAATTGACCATACTAAGCAACAAGAGATAAACTCTAGTCTCCAATACCCCAATAGTCATTATACACGACCGGTACACATGGTCCACAGTAATAGTATCACCTACG